GCAAGAAGACTTGGCATGCTAATCATATTCACAGCTGATATTAAATGGTGAGGTGTTGTGAACATCAGAGAGGGCACAGAGATAATTCAAAGGGACACGGAGAGGTTACGGATGTGATTGGGAAGTACATTGCAAAATGAGACTCGGCTTGAGAATGGCCAGCCGGGCAGAGGGAAGTAAAATAGGGATGGATGGATTTCACTCTCGCTCTTAGGATGAAGACTAAGTATGAGAAGAATGCTGGTGGTACTAGTGGTACGGGCTGTGTTACCTGGTACAGGTGCCCACGGTTTAGGTGTCTGAATCCCACTGGCCTAGTGAGGGAAGAAAGGTTTTGGTGACAACTTGCTGAAACCTACATAATGAAGAGGAAGCTTCTGGGTTGGCCAGGCCTGGTATAGGCTCCCGGGAGCCTGGCCTTTTGTCTTTACCAGATGTGGCAGGTTTCTCTCTCTCTTCACTTCTGGCCCCAGCCAAAGTGTCCCCTTCCTCACTCCAGCAATGAGCAAGAGGCACATTGTCTTGGAAAAGCCCTAGATTCAGGTATGGCTACCCATGGCCCTAGCAGAGTTACACAACCTGTGGTCCAGGGGCCATATGCAGCAGTAAGTCCTCAACTGCCACCCTAAGCGTGTCTAAACCCCACTATTGAATTCCGTGGTGCCTGCGTTCTCTACTATCTACCCCAGACCTCCTCAGGCAGACCCCAGGGATTGCTAGGTGGGTATTTCCGGGAGTGTGCATGCCAAGGAATGTGCTTTGGTCACCCCACCATTGCAAATGGAGCGGGTTCATCTCCTTTATTTGTATCTCCTATGCTCGTTGGCCAATGCCAAGAAAGTATGCTATACAGGAAGGCATTGTACTTCCTATGGCAATGTCCAGAAACTAAGATGGTTTTAAAAGGCAACTGAAGCATCCACAGCGAAGGAAGCACTGCTGTCTACCAGGGTGTAGCAGAGGCAGCGCTCCAAGACTTCCCATGAGAAGGGGCGGTGATGTCACCGGCCCCCACCTGAGCTTCTTTCTTCTGAACCGTTTTTTATGGTTCCGTGTTCTCTCCAATTGTTGCAGCCCTCACAGTAGATGGGGAGGGAGGCAGTGCATCGTCCAAGCATTGTGGAGAGCTATCCCATGCAGAGTAATCTGAGGTAGCCTCGTCTTGCGCAAGAAATGGGGTGCCTGCATTTTTGTAGCAACTATTTCCTTCCTGTCCTGATTATGGGCTTCCAGCAATGGCTTAAGTTCATTCTGGGAAACAGGAAGCTGGTAGCATCTGACCGACTCACACGCTATTTGTGGGAATGGACAAGACTGTCACTCCTGGTGCGCCTTCCAAGGACAGGGTGCCATGAATTTGTGTGTCATCGTTGCGCAGGGGCCATGCTAATCTTCTCTGCATCGTTCCAATTTTTGTATAAAATATGGAACACGTCATGGACGAAGGAGAAGTGGAAGGTGAGCCCATGTCCTGCCTGGGCCATGACTCCATTGCACAGCCTTGGGTTAGAACCCAGTTAAAGTGCTACATGGATCTCGAAGGCTGCTCCTTCAAAGAGGGACCTGTCCAGAGAGGTGGGGCCCAGCATTACTGAAAAGGAGGGTTTTGGGAAGTAGTTTCTCTTTGGGATCAGCTAACAGACTTTTTGTTACTGTAGCTTGCTAGCTGTGCTTTGACAATAAAGAACTATTTTGCAAGGAGACTATCTGTGTTTTTGAACTCTTGAAACAAATCAGAGGAAACCTAGCTCCTGACGGATATCATGCTCCAAGTTTCCCTGCCTCCATAAGGGAAAACCAATAAAACAAAGCATGGAAACTCATAGCAAGGCAGCTTCCTGGATCACTGCACAGTATGGAGAGAAAGTAGGAGACACAGGGCTTCAAGTCACACATCCAACTTTGAAAAGATACAGAAGTAAATTTTAAATTTGGAATGTGGGAGATTTAGGAGTTCAGCTCAGACTGTGAAGAAAGAAATTGGGAATGCATAACTCTGAAAAGAGTACAAGAGAAGATAAATCTCTCCATTGCTAAAACATCTCTTTCACTCCCTCTTTTTAAAAATCCCACCTACTCAGCCCATACCGAATAATCTGGGTGTTCCATCTGCCAACCTCCATCTGAATCTTCCCTTTGGAATGGACAAAAAACCTGTGCTGCTTTGTATCTTCTCGAAACCTCTTGAAATAGAGCAAAACAGCACCACCAGAATAACAAGTGGCGTGAGCCCTCTGTCACTCACTCTCCTTTCAAACCCATTTCAAGGGCTCCAATTTGTACACATGTACAATCTAAAATTGATTCTGCCCACCCTATGAGGTGTTCCTATTAAAGTGGGGTTCCCACTGATCAAAAGGAAGCTGAAAAGTGTGCAGTGGTGGTAGAGTGTGTGTGTGTGTGTGTGCGTGCGCGCGCGCAGTAACACCGGACATGCTTAAACCCATCCACATCCTTTTGCCGCTGTTCTCTCCTTTATGGCTGGATGGGTTTCTTTTTTTACGGTTCAGTGTCCTTTCCATTTGTTTTGCCTGTGTTAGTCATTTATAATGTGACACTGGCAGGCAAAAAGCAGAGCTGGCGCCTGGATACAGAACACAGCAGTGGCGGGGAGCTGGTAAAGGTGTTCGTTGCAGATTTGTGTATTAGCAGCAGTGCTGATCAGGAAAATTCTCCACAGCCCTGTTGTTAACCAAGCCTTATGAAAAAGAATCCCCCACCCCTGCTACTTATGGAAACTTGTCTGACTAAACCTCCAGCGACAGCTCTCCTTGTGGAAGAATTCACAAGAACCTACCCAGAGAAATGCAGGTAGCTTTGTCTCTGTGTGAGCTCACACGCGGGCACACGTGCCCCAGCTCATAGCTTTCTGGGACGTTCTCTTCCCAGCACCCGGACAAACATTGTAACTCAGTTGTAAATGCGTTCTAGTTTTCCTTTCACTAGGAGCAGATATTTTGTAAAGTTAATGGGTCGTAACTGGCCATTCAAGACCAAGCACCCCAAAATTGCTTGTGCTGTGACAGGGAAAGCTCATAAAAATTGCTTCTGAGAACATCCACTGACGGCTCTTCCATTGCTGCTGAAATGACACTTCCAAGCACTTCCATTCTTCTTTGGGTCCCTTTAAAAATGGCCGGTGCCTCAAAAAGAGCCACTGGCATCTTATGTTTATGCTCAACCTTTTTGGCCCATGTTTTTGCTATTGCTGCTGCTGCAAAGATGATGATGATGATGATGATGATGATGATGATGATGATGATGAGCGTGTTCTTTGCAGGCAGACACTTAACACTATTTGATCGGCTGATATGGGGTGAAACTGCACTTCGGCTCTTTTCTGCAGGGACCAATCTGCCAGTGGCAAAAGCACCAGTAAACGGGCCGAGAGGGCAAAGGAAGAAGGTGCACCAAAGGGGAGTAGAGAAGCTTTCAACCCTCCGGCAATGTAGCCCTTTCTCTTCTAAGTGCTGACCTGACAGGTCTCAGTGTCACGCCCTTTTTCAGCACTCGCCCAAGGTGTGCAGCTCCTCCAGAAGGGGAGATATGAAAAGGGGACATACCCCCTTTTCCAGGGCGTTGCATCATGAGGACTGTCAGCTCCACCATTAATGCTGGGAGGGCTACACTGCTGAGTGGGCGACATCGGCCCATGCATGTGGGGCAGCTACTTTCCCTGCTTTTCTAGCATGTGCTGGTGCTTTTCAATTGACAGCTAAGCAAATGATAGCTGGCAACAGTGCACAAATTAGCCTGCCTGCAGCCTCACCTTGCCCTTCCTTTTACAAGGAAAACCGACAAGAGAATTGACCAGGCAAGACACACATATTGGATAGCTGATGCCCACGTGAATATTTGCACACAACTGGCAATAATAAGTTTAAAAATCAACCATTTTCAGGATCTGAAGAAAGAAATGCAACCCAAATTCATTCCCCCCCCCCCAGAATCTGCCATATTTGGCAGTGAATGTAAAAAGAGAGGGGTCAGAGCAGATGGGGAGAGATAAGATGGGTTCTGCCACAAAGGATGCTGGGACAGGCACTAGAGCTGCCTGGAGGACTGAGGGGGAAGGAAGGGAAGAACAACCCCCGGGGTGCCCCATTGTCTGTACGGTGCCCTATGAGCTGCAGAGCAAACAACCCACACACTGTGGATTGTTCACATGTTGGCTTGGCCTGGGGTGTGAACCTCCCCTCTGAGCACTCAGCCAACAGACTCCAAGGGGTCATCCTGGTCTACAAGGCTTTCTGAAGGAGAGGCAGAGCTTCCCTCCTGCTTGGCAGATCGAAATGAGCCATTCTGTATAGAAGATTCGAGGCAGCAAGAGATGGGGAGAGAAATGTGTCCCTTTCTTACATGTATTATGCTATTTTTACCACTGCGGGAACTGCCTTTGAGCTTGTTGGCTTCAGGCACTGAAAGTCTTGGGCCATGTCTGAGAAACAGTCTGAGATGATTGGGACTTCCAGTCACCCAAATTCCACTTGGTTGGCTGTGACAGTTTGATGGCAATGAGCCTAACAAGCACTCAGTGAAAAACTCAGTGTGTATGTACGTGTGTGTGGACACAAGCACATCTCTCTTGCAACTGTTCATCACAGAAACCTTTTTATTCTGGCCTATCAGCGCCTAATTAGATTATTATTATAATAATGTGCCGCTCAGCTTCCTTTGTCTCCATTTGCAGCCACGTCAATTTCTCCATCAAAAGGCCGCAAAACCTTTCTTTGCATCAGGGCCTACAGCTACATGCTGTGTGGTGATAATAAACCGCTCCTGAATATTTTCTCTTTGTTAGCACAGTTGCACTCTGGGAGGTTTTTCCCCATTTTGAATGGCGGTGCAATGTTAGCAGCTCAGAGCGATGTGTGAGATTTTGGAAGATCATACTTTCCCTTCAGCAAGCATTAGTGCTCTGAACTGCACGCACTCATGCTCATTACTGTAAAAGGTTAGGCAGAGGAATGGATTAAGAGAAAACAGAATGAAATCCCCACCATCAACTGCTTGATTGTTGGGTGTTCCTCAGTTTCTCTGCCAGAGGTGGACTCCTTGTGGACAATCTCGACACGGATATCATTCTTGGCTGAAACCACACCTTTCAGATCTAAGCCAAAAAAGCAAGAGAGCAAAGATTACTCAAAAGCAACTTGTGGGCTGGTGCAATGATGCCCATGGCTCGTTCCAGAGTTCTGTCTCTTAAGGAATCCTTTGTGCATTGGCTTTGGTAAAGTTAAGGCAGCCAGCTGCCCCATCGTACACAATTGTCTGTTGGAAGCATCATGTCCAGTCCGAGTCCAGCTGAAAGAACCACCAGAAACCAAGTAGAGCCTTGAAGCACCAGGCAGCAAACTGAGCAGCAGGTGGTTCCTCGGTTACCACCTTCCTATCTATGGTAAAATATATGGTGTTTCTACTACCTTTGTCCTTCTGTCAGTGAGGCCTCCCCCTGTCCCCCATGCCCTTCTGGTCATCCCAATCCCACTGTATTAAGGTTCCTAGGTGCACGTTCCAGTATGTAGGAAGTATAGCTGTAAGTGTGATACAGCTAATTCTTCTTTCACTTGTACATTTTAGCAATGCAATTTCTGCCTCCATTTGGGAGGAGGTTATACTATGGAATATTCTGTATGGACAGATACCTGTTTTACAATTATACACATTTTCTGAATTATCTACCTGCCTGTTGGACTGCAAAGTCAGTCTTAATGTCTTTCCCATACCCGTATGACAGCTAAATGACTGCTACCACAATACCAGAAATGTAGGTGGTCAACCACAATCGCATGATGATTGAGGGCTTATTGACTCTTTCAGCCTCTGAACAGATATTTGGATGTCATCCATGCATGGATAAATATAGAGAGAGTTAGGATAAATATAGGGATAATTAGCTTGTCTTGTTGAGACTTATTCATAACTTCTTCTACTGACAGTAGATTTCCTTATATACATACAATACACAGGTGCGTGAATTATAGGTGCATTGATTGCAACTGATATATGCAAACTTTATGCAACAAAACTATATTTATGGTTTTTATATTTGGTTTTGAAAGTTACAATAAAATGTATTTTAAATATGCAGGGAACACAGAAATATTGCACACTGACTTATGTTGATAGCGTATGGGTCCTTCCAGCTCATATTCTTCTATACTGATCGTTTCCCTAGATTTTTGGACATGGAGAGAAACTATAATGTTTTGCATGCACAACACACAACACAGGCCTGTGGAGCCTTCTGCTTCCCTTCTTGAACTAAGAACACGCCAAGGAGCCCACAGCCTGGGGAATCCACAGGGACGGATTTGTATCCTACACCACATGTTCTTTATGTACATTCTTGCACATCTTGGTTTGTGCCAGAACACCTAAGTGGATCTTTAAATTGTCCCTAGGTGTAACATACTATTGCTTTAAGGATGGCCGTGTATACCGCACATATATGGTAATCTGAGACATTGCCATGAACATCACTACTAAATGGCTGTCATGGAACGCGTGGTTATTTGCAAAGGAAAACCAGGCTGCCCAGACGACTGTGTACAAGGAACGGCAGGGACCGAGCTACAGCATATGCTCCGAACCCACAGTTCAGCCCCTGCTTTTCCTTTTCTTCATCTTGGGGGCAGGACTTGCTGTAAAGAAAAACAACTGTTTGCAGCAGCCCGCCCTCTTCCTTTCCTACAAATGTCCATGAGTCCCAGGGGCGTTTCTGGGAAATGAAGATGGAAGAGGAGATCACTTTGATCCTGGCTGCCAATACGAGGAAAGGAGGGACCCCAGAAAGCTATCTTGGGAATCATTGGTTCCCCTAGGCACCACATGACATCTCAGATGGAACATGGGTGTTATCTTATTAATTAACTAATGAGGAAAAAGTTGGCATTTTTGGATTTGCCAGGAAAAATACTGTGCAGTCAGCAACAGATGCTGCACTTGAAAGGGAGGGATTGTGTTCAAGCAGGCTCTGAGAGAAAAGCAGGGCAGTGTTATTCAGAGGCTTAGTTTCCATCCCTCCGCTGACCCGGAGGTACCCAGGAGATGCCTGGCCATCTTTGAAGAGGTCCTTTTGAAAAATTGAACCAGTGATACCAAGCAGCGGGTCTAAGAGGAAGGGAAATCACTCACTCTGTATGTGGCTAAGATTAAAGACAGAGAGGAAAGTAAATCTAAACAGGCTTTGAAGAAACAGCTTGAAAAGTGAGTCTGGAATGCCTAACTGGTCCTTGTCTTTCTTAAGAGTTCCCACACTAAACTTCAGAGCTTGCTGTGCAAGTTTGAGGATTTTGCTTCATCTGCATTTTAAGCAAACTGACCTCTCCAGATGAATATGTAAATTGGAATGTTGCTTTCTGTCAGCTTTTGCTCTCTGATTTTTGCAATGTTCTTGTTTAAAAAAAAGTATCAACATTTGCACAAAATTTGTACTTGACGGTAAAATGTACGCACGAATGTGCATTTTCTGAAAAAAAATGTGAATCTTTTTCTGCAACTCTTTAAAATAAATGTAGATTGGTGCAGAATGGAAAGTGGTTATGGAAAGAAAGTAGCAGCTCTTCCGGATTTTCCGCATGAACTGAAAACACCCATTTTCTAGTAGACATTCCCAGGAAGGTAACCCATGCCTTATATGAAGACTCATTTTTATATGTTACTCAGACATTTTGTTAATATTATTTATCAGCAAGCAAAGAAGCAAACAAACAAACAATGCACAGCTTCTTTAAAAATACTTAATTATGACTCTGTCAAATTGAAAAAGGAATGGGCAATTCTGAAAAGGTCAGAGGGGCACTGAAGAAGCGACTGCCCCATGGGAAACAGTGAGCACCTTATTCAGGAAGGGGATTTGGGTGCTGTTAAGAATGGCAGGAGGGAGAAAGTTTTTATCTGTGAATGGAGCTCCATCCTTCAGCATTTTTTGCTTTTCTGTTGAAAAGACTGGGCAGGATGCGGCTTGCCTATTTTTCCCCTGGATTGTGCCCCATGTCTATTTGTGCGTGTTTGTGTGGAAACCATTTAGGTTTGCTCACTCAAGCAGCAAACTAATCTGACTCGGCTCTGAATGCAGCAGACTTTCTCTCAAAAATATCCCATGCAGCTCCCTGCGTTCTGCAAACTGTGGGGGAGCAGAGACAAGGCTGGCACAGGGTGGCGGGGAGGCTGATGTTGCCCACACCCCCTTCCTTCTTGAACTTAGCTGCAATCTTCATGGTAACCTGATTGGGTGGGGGCAGAACACATTTCCCCCTCAGCAACCTATCCTTCACCTGTTGAATGGCAAAGTCCTTTGGGGAGGCCCGGTTCTGCACAGCCAGGTAAGACCCTTTGCCTCGACAAAAGACCCAAATTCTGGAGCTGGTTAGTTGGATTGGATCAACACCCCTGCCTGGACTTCGGGGGCTTCCTCGCAGGCATGGCTGTCACGGCGAGTACCTACACTTGGTAATTTACCATGACGCTACTGTCAACAGCCCATTAAACATTTGCAGACTCATTATCTATTTTGGCCTTCCCAATTTCCTGTTTCATTACAAAACCTGGAGAAGAAGTGGAAATTGGAAAAGTCTCCAGTGTCTTTACTTTCCCATTCTGATGAGGAATTAACTGTCTGAACAACTAGGCAAAAGGGGACAGTTTATAGCCTAATCTGGAGACACAGTAGAGCAGGAACTGTTTTGAAATCCCTATAAATAATGCCAGCTTCCAAGTGACAGGCTCTGAATCATTGCTCAGGCTGGGTTTTGAAAGATGGAATGCTTTATGGGAGACACTAACTCAGTGTCCGCGGTTCTGCTGTTCAGTCCATCACCAAGCAAGAGGATTTGTGGTTTCTGAGAGGCAGACACACCAGAGAAAGGTGCTGGAAGCCCTCTCTCAGAGTCCCCATGATGATGCTTTGGTGCATAAGTACCAAAGCGGAAAGTGTGAGAAGCTGCGGTGTGTCTACACGGGTTTAGATTCTGGATTTTGAGTGCAATGCTATGCATGTTTGGACGGAGACATCCTGCTGCTCCCGGGATTCTGTAGCTGGTGTTGGGCTTGTATAGCATTTTTCTGTCTAAACACACATAGATTTGCAACTTTGTATTATGCCCTACGCTCATCAGATGGCCATGTATAGTTCTTATGCTCTACACTACTTCCTTTCGTCAGTTTGTCCTCTCTTTAGGAAATTGTACATGGGTTCTTCCCACCTTCAAGCGTCTTGCTCGGAGACAGGGTGTCCTGCACCAGTTGTGAAGGAGGACCATCAGTGGGCGCATTAAGAACATAAGGACCCCCGTGCTGCACCAGAGTATGGGTCCAACTCTCCAGCATTCAAAACTTTCAGAAATCATGAGGCTGGGGAGGGCGTAACTCTGTAAGTAACTTTGTAACTTAATGTTGGTAAGCCGCCCCGAGGCTCCGGTGAACGGGGCGGCATATAAGTCTGCTAAATAAAATAAATAAATAAATAAATAACGGAGGTGACCAAGTCATAGCCCAGCTGTGGCCGTGATCTACTAGCCATGCTGCAGCCATTGTTTGGAGGAAGAGAGGAAGCAAAAGGGGAGGAACGAAGAGAGAAATGGACAGGAAATGGACAAGGGGAGAGTAACACGGAGAAGCAAGGAGGATATTCAAGGAAAAGGGAAGGTAGTTAGGAAGTCAGGAAAAGAAGAAACAACGTGCAAGAAATGTTTTTCATTTTTCAAGGGGGTTAATATGTATAATTGGCTCTGGAAGTGTAGTTGGCTTCTCCCATCTCTGCTCTTCTCTGCTCTGCTCTTCTCTTCCTTCTCTCTCCTCTCCTCTCCTCCCCTCCTTTCATTCATTTGGTTGTTCACTCTTTCATTCTTTCATTCTTTTTGCAGTAAGCTTTCTTGTTACTGCATTGCTATATAGTCAGATTTAGCAAACAGCCTTAATACTAGTCCTTCTTAATGGTTACCTGATTCAGACATTCTCCTGTGCTCCTTTTCAGACTTTCATGGGTTCTGTGTGATAAGCTGAAGAAGGTTCTTAAGGGTGCTAGGAAATTCTGGGATTGGAAAGCTGTTTCAACTGAATTCATCTGAAGAGTTGGAAAGGGCACCTAAGGCCCTTCAGCCCAGCCCC